ACTGTCTCTAAACAACAGTTAAAAAACGTTGACAAAGCTTGCATATATATATATATATATATATATAATGACCTTGAGAAGCACTGATGTAATTGATAAATGAAGACAGTGAGCAGCCAATAGGATTCCAAAGGTTATAAGTAGGGTGAGAAAAAACCAGGTCATAATAAAATGAGTGGGGTGAGAGAAATACAAACAGACATGTAAAATTGATACATAGGGAATTAGGTCTGTATATCACATTTCCGAGTACAGCGTTGAATTATTAGAGTTTCGGCTGCATGGTGATGTAGGCGAAATCCTTTCGAACAACTCAATCTTACTTTGTATTTTGACTGAAAATGAAGTCTCTATTCATGCTGCATGGTCAGAAGTAAATATGCTCTAGAATTGAGTAAATAATTAGATATTTGGAGGCAACGGCAAGAAGCCTTGGATCTAGTTTTTGTGCTAGCTGGCACTCGCCAGCATGTTAGTAAGTGTTCATGAATAGTGTTCAGATAATGTTCTACTAAGTTACTGATACCTGTCCCATTAACATCTTGAAAAATCTCTCAATAAAAGCTTTTATAAATAATTAAATACTATCAGAGTAGATTTAATCGCCAGGCAACAACAGCTGGCGAGTCACTGAAAACCAGGGAATACTAGACAAACTGCCTTGTCCTAGTTTCCCACTCTTCATCAGTGCGAATACATGATCCTATCAGGGATCAAATACAAGATCTTCAGGTTATAAGGCCAACCCGGTGATCATTCATTTATTAGGTCAGAATTCAATAACCTATGAATTTCAACTTCCGGAAATCCTCGATACATCGCTAGCTTCAACTCATGCAATCGATAATCATCCTCTTGACTACGGTATGGTCAACTCGACTAAACACGAGTTCCCCTCAGAACTTTAGAGAATCCATTGTTGTTTGATTTATTCGCAGATTCTCAGTTTTCTAAGGATTTCAATTGATTTCAACATAGATTTCGTCTGAAACCAGTATCAGTTCAACAGCCATTGAAAATAAATAAAGACAAATTATGTGAAATAAACCTTTTAACGGAGGATCTTTGAGTCCTAAGGATACAAACACACACACACACACACCTACACTAATGTATACACATACACAAACAGAAACACCTATAATTTCACATAATTTAGACATTTATTATAACACGTTAACAATTCAATGAAGTCGAACACTTTACACGTTATTTTAACAGTCACAATATAGAATATATTACTTCACAGAAAAGTAAATATTCAGAACACATTTGAAAGGGTCACCTTTAAAAAGTGTAGTAAGTGGTTAAGAAAAAGGTGTGCAGTGTAATGTGTAATAGATTATGTAATAAATGGGGTGATGTACAGTAATCAAGATTATATATATACATATATGCTAGTTACATACAGATCATGTGAAAGCTACCTTAACATTTATTTAGATCAATAAATATGAATACAAAAAAAATTACCAAGGATATGTTAAGCAGGGTAAGATAAAATTAATTGAACAGTATACATAAAACGATGTAATGCTAAAAAAATTGCAAACATTTGGGATTTTCATGATGGAATAAATATTTGATAAAGTATTTTCCATAAAATTCCCTGTTGAAGATATACAATTCCACTACTCCTGGGTTTTCCAATGGTTCTCTAACCAATGTCAGCTCATGATGAAATCCTGTAACCAATCAAATCTCTGCAAACCAACACTTGAATATCGATGAGACGCTCACTAGCGACTTACCCCTAATCAGGTAGGCAGTTACCTGGGGTTCCAGTGAGAACTCGTGATCAGTAGGGTGCAGCAGGTCAGGTGTGAGGACAAATACTCGCCGAAGACATTGGCTAGGGGTCGTGCTGTATCGCGAATAGGCAAAAGTTAGAAAGCATGGGTCGTTGGGTCAGGTCCCAGTGGCTTAATGGTCTACGAGCTAGCTCGCCTTGTAACCAGAAAGTCCGGGGTTCGAAGCCCGGTGGTGCGTACTGATGAAGAGTCCCAAACTAGGACGAAACAGCTGTCCAGTACTCCCAGGTTTTCCAATGGTTCTCTAACTAATGTCAGCTCATGATGAAATCCTGTAACCAAAACAATGAATTCTCTTGATTTCCAAGGGAGTATAAGTTTTTATTCAAATGTGAGACTAGTTAATTAATGGCTAAATACTTCATGCATTTATTCCCCTTTAACAACTTGAATAAAGCAAGAACAACGGTGGTTTGTGCAGGATAATATGATACCATCATTGCTGATTTCGTTGGCTTCTCAACAGATGCTGCTTACAGCCTAAATAAATTATTATCAATTTCATGTACAGAAAAGTTTTAACATACTTGCAAATTTTACATGGTGTCAGTTGACAGAAGGTTCTGCAATTCATGAACAGTGCTCAGAAAATTACACTTATGTAGTTTTTACACAGGCAGTTCAGATTTAAACAGAATAAATGTATGCATACAATGGTAAAGGATTTACGTAATAAAGACGAGAGATGCGTAAGATGCTGAGTGACTAATAAACGAATTAGGTAACAATGTGCTGAGTTCAGCTCAAATCATAGAAACAAGAGAAAAGCAAAATTACACTTGTTTCTATGATTTGAGCTGAACTCAGCACATTGTTACCTAATTCGTTTATTAGTCACTCAGCATCTTACGCATCTCTCGTCTTTATTACGTAAATCCTTTACCATTGTATGCATACATTTATTCTGTTTAAATCTGAACTGCCTGTGTAAAAACTACATAAGTGTAATTTTCTGAGCACTGTTCATGAATTGCAGAACCTTCTGTCAACTGACACCATGTAAAATTTGCAAGTATGTTAAAACTTTTCTGTACATGAAATTGATAATAATTTATTTAGGCTGTAAGCAGCATCTGTTGAGAAGCCAACGAAATCAGCAATGATGGTATCATATTATCCTGCACAAACCACTGTTGTTCATGCTTTGCTCAAAATCACTAAATAGTTGGCTAGCATTGTGATATTGTAACAACAGAAGACAAGGCCAGGCAACAGATCGTTTATTATGGAAGTCAACACAGATTTATAGATTTTCATGTACATATTATAGATTATTGTTAGCAGAAAAACACAGTCTTCTGGTTGGTTGTTTCTCACAAAAAGTTAACCTTGCATCTCTTTGTGGCTGTTTCTTGAATATCAGATCATCTTTATGCTAACTGTATCCGCCTACGCAAAGTCTTTGTTCTTATTTTTCTCACGACCAATATTCGGGACATAAACATTGACGTAAATTAATGTCTACCAATTAGGCTGGAGACCAGCTCTCACCACAACATCATATCTTTCCGAGGGACTTATGAGAGAGTCATACATACAAAGTGAAGGGAATATATGATCCATACCTGTTTTATATATGGGTTTAATGACGAAATTTTGTGATAGATGTTGGACATTTAATTCCTGGCTTTATTTATTCTTTCATCATCTACTTAGAAATGTGTTTTATAGAGGTGACTTGAAGAGATCGGCGAGTCCTTCCTACGTACGTGTGATTACACATACAAGTAATATGGCAAACACAGTGGGACATAACGCTATCACTCGCATGCTATAGAGGTTTAACATAACAACACAAATCTCATTTTCTATCTGAAAATTAGTTTCACTGGATGATGGTTCTTGGTGAGTATCGCTCTGAGGCTGTAATTAGTGACAAGACTTTGGTCATCAATGATGAATTCTACTGGGAATCTACTGTGGCTCCTGTGACATTTATTGAATTTCAGTGGAAACTTATTGTCTGACAGTATTTTAGTACAGTTCTTCTTCGCTGGTATCCTTCGTTTACTGAATAAACTGTAATAATTCTTTATCTCTAGAACAATACATATAAGCATATCACCTTATATAACATGAGAGAATTATGAGGACATGTTAAAGCATAAGATTATAGTCTTCACTATATCATTCTAGTTTGAAGCAGGTTAAGCACTGAATTCAACGAAATTTATCGATTTTGCTGCGAAAAACCCAAACAGTCCCATGTAAACACGTACAACATGACGTTCCGAGCACGATTTATTACTCAATAAATATCAATGCATAACATTGTGAGACTTTATCAAAATAAATATTACTCACAATGGCATTATACTCTGTTGATACTCCAACTTGAAAATGAGAGCTATTTTATCACATTTGAGAGGACGGTATCCTCTGTAACACTTTTCTACAGTTTTTATGCATTTTTTTCATAAAATGTATGTGTTCCATGCACAGAAATGCCTTCGTCACGTGATTGCTGCGTTCGAGATCATTCGTTGATTGGTAGTTACTGGTGCTTAATGTTTAACTATGCCGTTTTCTGAAGATTTATTTATAAATATTAACAATAACATATCGGATCTGGACATACTTTTTAATCAGATCTGCACTGTTCTACCGAACAAGTACGAACTTTCCTTGCAACTGAAAAGTTCTGAGTTCGAACCCCGGTGTGTGCGTACTAACGAAGAGTCCCAGACTAACACAAAAGCACTTTCCAGTATCCCCCAGTTTTCCCTATCTGAAGTATGAAACCGCTTTCAAAGGAAAGCGCTGAACTATCCTCACATGTTTATTATTGTGTAAACACCAATATTGCGAATACTTTATTATTAGGCCATATTAATTTGGTAGCACAAATTCAGTTACCAATCTGTTAGTGCATATATTCAAGTCTTTAATAAGTCTACCGGCTGTTTGTTTGCCTCTCTAAAGTTAAATACCTTCCACTGTGTTTCACTTTGAGACTAGAGATCGAAGGATTGATTGTTGAAAGGCATGTTTCATACATAATATCATAGTTTGGCTAAATTATTAAAAGATTTCTGTGTGTAAAATTTGGTCACTGTTGTAGTAAGTAATTCCATATTAGTTTGTTTATTAGATGTATCACACAATGAGTGAAACAGTATTATTTACTGGATGACACAGTTTCGAACAAAATCTATTGTTCATAATCATATCATCAATTATAATCACACGACTTCACAACTTGAGTTTTATAGTTTCCTTTATCCTCTCCTGTTTGTCGTAGGGGTATTAAAATTTTCCAGACATATTCATGGATAGGTGGGAAAAGATAGCGATTGAAACGTTCACCCCCAACCCAAAAGTATGGTTGAGGTATGTAGATGACACATTCACTGTACTTAGAACGTAAGATATAGATAGATTTTTTGAACACATCAACTCGAAGGTAGAGGCAATTCAATTCACTTATGAATTGGAAAGACAGGAAGGGGAACTTCCAATGTTAGATTGCAGCGTTAAAAGGAAAGAAGATAAGAAGTTAAACACTAGTGTTTACAGGAAACCCACACATTCAAACAGATATTTGAACTTCTGATCATCCCATCGTATGTCTGTAAAAATAGGATTGGTGAAATGTTTAAGTGACAGAGCAAAAAAACTAAGTAGTACCAAGGAAAATCTAAGACAGGAAGTGATACATATAAGAGAAGCCTTGAAACTTAATAATTACCTGGATAAATTAGTCGGGAAATATGAAAGGAAATGTAAAAATAAAATAAATAATGATAGTACTGATAGTGATAATAATGATACTAAGAATAACATGCATGTCAAATATGCGCATGACAACACCAACAATAAGGAATCTAAATCATCAGTAGTAATCCCATACAAGAAAGGAACCTCGGAAACCTTACGCAGAATTCTTAACATGGCGGGCAGGAATAAAAGTGGTTGTCATTCAAACCACCCACAAAATCAATTAGAAACAAGCTTTGTCGATCAAAGGGTCAATCCTGTGGACCCGTCAAAACAAAACAATTTAGTTTATCTAATACCCTGCTTACGATGATTGTCAGGTCAAAAACATAGGTCAAACTAGTAGAGCAGGTGCAGTTAGACTAGCTGAACATAAAAAGCTAGCAAAATCTAGATTGGTTGACCCGAATAAGATAAGAAATCTAGGGAATAGTTCACCTATAGCACTCACTACATACAGTCACACACAACCACACAATAGGATAGATGTCATAGGATGACTCTTGAGGTTCTACCATGCCAGGCAGGTTGTTTGGATAGCGGTTAAACAAAAAGCAGCTACCCAATCCAACATCATGTCCAATACAAAATTACAAAATTTCATGCCGGATCGGCCGTGGCCCGGATTAACAACGACCGCGCTTCCTGCTGCCGTGTCACAGGGCGGGAGTGATAAATCTGCTACTGAGACACACCAAACAAAAAAGAACGAACAAAAACAGGCCGCGTGTGACCGGCCTCAAGCAGTTGTCCCCTGGGCTCTGCGGTCACGCAACCAACTTCCACGGTGTGGGCAGCCGGGAAGTAACAATCGCCCTCACAATCCGAAATGCACACGAAACCTCTCTATTACTCACTCATCTTTGTCTTCATCTTCATCTCTATCATCTTGCCTTCCTTCCACTGATGCAACTCCTCGACTTGATAGCTCTCCACTTCCTCTCCACTCTGCGTCCACTAAAAACGATGGAAGCCAAAAAACCACCACCGACAGCCTCTTAAAGCCGCGCCACCAATTTCATATAGGAGCTCTTAATGTTAGGACACTTTGCCAAATAGGACAACAAGCATCACTAGCCAAGACCCTGGCATCACGAGCCATTGATGTATGCTGTGTTTCAGAAACACGCATACAAGACCCAAGTGTGGTTATTCACCTAACCCCACCTGGCCAACAGGTTGAATCTGCAAAATTCACCCTGAGGGTGTCAGGAGATGCCACAGCTAGTTCACGAGGATTAGCTGGCGTAGGGATAGCTTTGAGTACTAGGGCAGAAAAGACATTGCTTGACTGGATCCCGGTAGATAGCCGAATGTGTGCTGTCCGCCTGAACGGATCAGTAAGAAGGAGGAAGGACTGCACTACTCGCCGATGCCTTTTCGTAATCTCCGCCTACGCCCCCACTGACTGCAGTTCAGATGAAACGAAGGATGAGTTCTACCAAAAGCTGTCTAGTTTGGTGGAAAGGCTAAACGCTCAGACATAGTCGTTCTAGCTGGTGACTTTAACGCTCAAGTAGGGAAATTGTGTCAATCTGAGAAGGATGTCGGTGGCACCTATGGAGCTCCGTGCCAGCGAACCGACAACGGTGACCGTCTCCTACAGTTCTGCTCTGATAATCATTTGTTTCTTGTAAGCACTAACTTTAAACACAAGGAGAGACACTGTTTGACTTGGAGACCCCCTTCATCAAACCAACGCTGGACACAAATAGACCACATAGCAATAAGCTATCGTTGGCGTGGGTCGGTAGGAGATTGTCGCTCCTTCTGGAACACGTGCGTAGATACCGACCATGCACTGGTCCGCGCTCGGGTGTGCTTACGACTGAACGGACGTAGGAAACAGCTGGCGGTAAAACCATCACGTCCCCAGCTCGATCAGGAAACTAAATCCGTATTTGAGGAAGAACTAGCTAAACACATATCTGTGTTCGACAGCTGTGCTCACCCTGAAGAAGCTTGGAAAAATATCCAGGCAGCCATAGATACAGCTGTAAAAGCTGTGAATAAGGTAAACCCAAAGGTGAGTAAAAACCACTGGATCTCCACCGCCTCATCCGAACTGATAGATGCTAGAAGACTTATTCCGGCGAGCTCCGAATTCAATGAGGAGCGAAAGCTGCACAAGAGGAAACTTACGAAAAGTCTCCGCAAGGACCGTGAACAGTGGTGGGCGACAAAAGCCAAAGAGATGGAGAAAGCTTTGAGGATAGGCAACACCAGGCAACTCTTTGGACTCATCAGGGAAACGGGTGGGAGAAGACAAATCATTAGTGAGACAATCTCGGAAAAAAATGGCACTATAATTAGCTCCAGGATAGACGACTGGATCGTTGGAAAGAGCATTATGAGGAGCAGTTTAATTTGCCCACAGCCACGCTCAACCTTCCGAGCATCCAACACCTCCCTGAATGGGATATAGACACAGGTCCTCCGTCACTAACTGAGGTTACTAAAGCTGTCACCAATCTGAAACTAGGCAAAGCAGCGGGACCTGATGGAATGACTCCAGAGGTATTTAAGTACGGTGGAGACAGCTTACTGTCCGGATTAACTGAGGTACTAGGCAGCGTCTGGGAATCAGAAGAAGTCCCATCGGGTTGGTGTAAGTCACTGATTATCCCCATATACAAGAAGGGAGACAAGTCTTCCTGTGATAATCACAGAGGGATTAGCTTGACTAATATAGTATCTAAAGTCTTAGGCTCAATAATCATGCGTAGACTGAGTGGTGCTCGGGAAGCACAAACACGAGAGAGCCAGGCAGGCTTTAGACCAGGAAGAGGGTGTATTGATCATATCTTCACCCTCCGACAGATTCTAGAACATAGGCATTCCTACCGGCGTCCAACAGTCATTATATTTCTTGACCTAAAGGCAGCATTCGACTCTGTCGATCGGGAAGTTCTCTGGAGATGCTTGGCTGTAAAGGGAATTCCAAGAAAATATATTGCACTGATTAAGGCACTCTATTCGTACTCATACAGCCAGGTGAGGGCTTACGGCGAGCTGTCATCTGAACTGATGACGACCAGTGGTGTCCGTCAAGGATGCCCATTATCTCCTTTTCTATTCAACTTCATCATAGATGTGTTAATGGACTTAACCCTAGGTGACTTCAGCGACTCAGGGATTGACTTGCTACCGGGAATAATCTCGTTGACTTGGAATATGCAGACGATATAGTCCTTCTAGGCGAAGACGCTGACGAAATGCAGAGTCTTCTAAACACCTTGAGCCGCAATCTACGAATGTTTGGCATGCGATTCGCTCCCGCCAAATGCAAGATGATGTTACAGGACTGGACTACATCGACGCCTAGTTTAAAAATAGGAAGTGAAGTGGTAGAGCACGTTGACCGCTTCACTTATTTGGGAAGTACCATCAGCCCCAACGGGCTGATCTCTGACGAAATCTCAGCACGAATACAAGGGGCTCGTTTCGCATTTGTTAGTTTACGCCGACTCTGGCGTAGACGAGATGTTCGACTATCGACCAAAGGGCGGGTGTACTGCTCATCAGTCCGCTCCGTCCTCCTTTATGGTTGTGAGACCTGGCCACTGAGAGTGGAAGACATGAAAAGACTAGCTGTCTTTGATCATAGGTGCCTGCGTTCTATTTCCCGTGTAAAGTGGCATAATAAGGTGAGCAACATGGAGGTTAGGCGTAGAGTTCTAGGTAAACAGGGGAAATCAATCGACGAAGTCGTGAAGCTACAAAGACTGAGATGGTTAGGACATGTGTTACGTATGCCAAGCCATCGCCTCCCTCGACGAGCTATGTTAGCGGATATAGGGTCAGGCTGGAAAAAAGCTAGCGGCGGTCAAACAAAAACTTGGCATCAGTCAATGAAATCCACAACAGTTGGTCTAAGCCACGTAGGAAGGTGTAGACTTCCAGGCTGGGGTCCTCGGGACGGTAAAAATCTATGGTTGGAAACAATTGGTGACATGGCTCAAAATCGTTCTCAGTGGCGCAGATGCATCCACTCCCTGTGACTTATGATCTTCAATGAAACTGTTTTGTATTTCTTTATTACTCCTTTGTCTCACACCTCTGCTCACTGTTTCTATTATGCTTTTCTTGTACTTTCTTCTCTTGCTTCGCGTGCTACACGGAATGTGGCGACTTGAACTTCCGCACATTTGTGCAAAGTTCTATGTCGAAAACAGACAGACAGACATAGGATGACAGTTTAAAAATCTAATGTCACAGGGTGGAGGGAGAAATTGATAACTGACTAAGGCTTTGTTTATCGAATCAACTGCAAATACATGTAATAGAAATGATTCAACACCTGTCCACCCAGATATCTGGAAAATTCTACTGACCCTACGACAAATACGAGAGGAAAAAGAAAACTATAAAACTCAAGTTTCGAAGTCGTGTGATTATGAAGAATAAATTTTGTTCGAAACTGTGTCATCCAGTAAATAATACTGTTTCACTGTGTGATACATCTAATAAACAAACTAATATGGAATTAAAAGATTCCTACTATTTACGACTATCAAAAACTTTTGAACTTTTCGCTATTACTACTTTGGTTCCATTGAGTTCCCAGTAGAATATATCGTTTCAGAAGCACATCGTCGTTCCCCTCTGTTCCCTGCTGTCATTTTTAGCTGGTTCCACGATTGCTCACAAACTTTCTTTTCCCCCTAACACAATCTCCTGAATGTCACACTCAAATGCCTAATTCGTACTTTTACGACAAGCTTCTATTCGTCAGCCATGCAATACTATTCAGAGGCCCACTCAGTACATGCTAAAATCCACTCCCATTATTTTGTTACTTGCAAAGTACTTAAGCATAGAAAACCGATTTACGCCTATCAGATTACCAAAAGAAACTTACATCCAACGTACTAAATCGGCGGCATAGCGGTCAGGATTCTCGCCGACCTTTCACATAGTCCGCGGTTTGATCCCCTGCCGACGCACACCTGATATTTATGGTCGGCCTACAAAATTTGGGCTAACGATATCACATGTTGAGAATTTCATACTTGTATCAAAAATACAGTGTGGAATCAAGCTGTAATCAAAATAAAAAATAAAATTTAAAAAAATATTTGTTGTAGGCAGTGTGAAATTCTAACAGTAATACATATATGTGTGTGTGTAGTAATCTAGTCTACTGACATATAATCTGTAACAAGTACTTATTGACAACTATTCAGTTGTATATTGTCTTCGAATTAGTTAGTGTAGGCTTACAAAACATATCGTTAACTAAGAATCAATAAAAAATATAGAAAATAACAACGATAATTCACACTTTAGATAATTCTTTGAAAAATCAATTAGTCCATTAATCAGGCCTACTACTCAAATATAACCAAAAAACAATCTGACAATAACAACTACAATATCAACTAGAATATCAATACTCAAAAGAAAACTTATGAAATTTCCAATTCACTGATTCTTACTAGTAAGTTTATTAACAAAAATAAAAGACAAAAAATAACTTCGTTTACTCTTCATACTTCCATGAATGATTTAAAAAAAAAAGTATTGATCGATTGAATTGGATTGATTCGGGTTACGTGA